ACAAAGCTTAAAGGTAAAGGTAATGGTAAAGGTTCCCCTTGACAATTTCTGTCCAGTTGTGTTCGACTCTAGGGGGCGGTGCTCATCCCCGTTTCCAAGCCATAGAGCCAGCGTTTTGTCCGAAGACAATCTTCTGTGGTCACATGGCCAGTGCGACTTAGACACGGAACGCTGTTACCTTCCCACCGAGGTGGTTCCTATTTATCTACTTGCATTTGCATGCTTTCGAACCGCTAGGTTGGTGGGAGCTGGGACAAAGCAACAGGAGCTCACTCCGTTGCGTGGATTCGATCTTACGACTGCTGGTCTTCTGACCCTGCAGCACAGGCTTCTGCAGTTTAGCTCGCAGCGCCACAAACAGTAACAAAGCTTACTGTTCATGAATTACAGTTAGAGTGAGGCAGTGCTTTCAGTGCAAGCACACAGAGAAGAAAACATGGGCCCTCGAGGGCTATAGATTAAGTTCAGTATTAGAGACGGTAAACTTCTCAATCCAAGTCACTGGAACACTAGTTGGAATGGAGAAAGCTGTTGTCCTGTTAGTGATTTTTCCAGAGGTACCTTGCTGGTCACTCCAGGAACAAAAAGCTGGGTTAGATGGCCCTTTGGCCTCACCCAGCAGACATCTTGTGTTGACATGGGTTTTCAGGTAACAGCAGTGCCTAGGCCAGCAGGGCAAAGTGTGGGCAGGTTTACAGTGGAATTTAATTATGTTTTGTCTCTCCCCTGCATTCCGTTCCATCCACCCGCAGGGATTGGTGAAACAGAAGCATAACAGAAACTATGAGGCATATCTCTAGCACAGACTTACAACTGACAGACATTTATTTACTATTTTATTTAAACTATTTTAACCCACCTTTCTCCTCTAAAAGGAGCCAAGGTGGCTTATAATAATTTAAAGTTAGTATTTAAGCTAATAACAGTGAGTATACAATACTAAAAGGATCAATGAAGGCAATACCAAAATGAAAACAAAAACTATAAGCAATGTCAAAACAGATTTACAAGCAATAAGGCACAGCAATTCATTTAAAAAACCCCACTTGGGAGCCTGAAGCTTGCCTGAAGGGAAAGGTCTTTGCCTGCTTGCTGAAGGGTGCGTTACAAGTATAAATACCAATTAAAAATGTAGGATGGTGAGGTAGCAGGACAGATATGCCATTGGTTTGTAAATCACTCCTCCGAAGTTTGCTTTTCAGCAAGCAGTGGGCTGTCAATTAGTAGGGCTTTTATTCCCCTCCCCATAAATGCATGGGTATTGTAACTTTTAGGCTTCCTGAAGTTAATTCCGGGGGTGGGGGGGAATGGTCAATGTCACTGCAGAGAGAAATGATCCAGAGGGAGCAGAGGAAGGGCCATACCAGAGATGATCAGAATCACAGGAAAGGAGGCAAGGCTGTATCTCTCAGTACTCTTCAAAAAGATGAGTTAATTTTGGGTTCCCTCCATATTTGATTTTCTAAAATGTTTTTTAAAAAAAGCTTCACATTCTTTTCAACCTCAATGTGAGAACTTTGGAAAATTTTGGCAAATTCCTGCCAAAAACGAACTGAAGTGAAATACTCACCTACGGTATCCCTACACATGAAAATTTGAAAGGAATCATTAGCTTCTGAATGGTTTTCTCAATATTATTGTCTTTTTCACTAAATTTTGTCTTCTCGTGATGTGTCCAAAGTATGACTGCCTCAGCTTAGTTGTTCTACCCTGTAGTGACAGTTCAGGCTGGTTTTGATCTGAAACCCATCCTTTTGTCTTTGTGGTGGTTCATGGAATCTGTAAAGCTTTCCTTTCAAATGAAGCCCCTCCCCTGTCAGCTTTCTTTATTGTCCAGCTTTCATTACCTACAGTAAATGCAAATACTGTAGTATTGGTGATCTTGGCCTTGGTCTCCGGCAACACATTGGAACATTTGAGTACATTTTCTACTTCATTCATAGCTACTCTTCCATTAAAAGAGCATGCATGGTTCAACCTTTCACTATAATTAATAAGACAATTGGTATACTATAGGTGTTCCAGTTGTTTATGCCATTAGCTGTTTTGGGTTCCTTCATAGGGTGGAAGATGAAATATAAATGAAATGCATTATTTTAGTAAGAAGAAAGACATGGAAATATGTGCAAAATTGAAGTTAATCACTACTGGATTCAGACTTTTGCAGCATATTTCAGTCATGTTCTTTCTTATCCCTAGGTTATATCTGATAATAGTATCCGGAATTCCATCTGCACTTTAGAGGAAGCCTTCTACTTTGGTCTTCCAACTTTTATTTTCTGTCTAAAAGATTTTATAACTTCATTTGTTCATGAAGCCTACTTTTGATACCGGAGAGGAATTCCCCAACAACTTTGACCATCAAAGGAATGTAAGCACTTCAATATTGGTCTGAACATGCTTGTAATGGGGAGAATAGAGCAGAATATTCACTTTATACAAAGCAAAGGCATAGACAGTGTTTGGAATTCTGTACTTACATGGCATTGGACAGAAAGCTTATAATATAACTCTTCAAGTTTGAGATATGCACAGAAAATTAAAGAAATCAACAGAATGGGAATGTAAATGGCATCTGAATCCCAGGGTTGGTAGTATTGTAGCTGTAATGGCAGCAGCTGTTTCAATATATGAACCACAGACCCAATACTCAATTTAGCAAATGGGGCTAAATTTGCCCCATATGCCTTTGGATTTTGAAGTGGAATAATTCCTAAAATTCGCCAATTTTCCTGCTCTATCAGCACAAAGATTTCAGCAACAGGATGTTGAGGTGGAGGAGACGTTCTAGCAGTTGGCTTTTCCTGGCACTCCCAGCCCCAAGAGGAAATGTCCCGAATACGTCAACTCTCAATGCCAGAGGGAAGGCAGTTAAAGGGGTAATTCCCACTTCTTTCTGAGAACTCCTCCCAGCAGCCGGATATTAGTTCATTTAGCTGCAAGTCAATTTTTAACCTTCTGGCAGGAGATGGCTTGTGCCCCAAACCTTTGGCAGCCTGGATTTAAGGCATATGAGAATACAAAAGAAAGGGGGAGCAGTGGGAATAATTCAGAGCAACTGGAAGATATGGTGACTTGAATAAATAAAAAAGGGAGGGGAACAACTTGAGATGCTTTTGGTTTTGCTCTGCTAGTTAGTACATGATGGTTTCTTTGCAGTTTCTTTCCTGCAATATGCAAGAGTAAAGGCACTTGGTCTCCCTAATAAACTAGCTGCCTGCCTAGTTTTTAAACTGTTGCCAGTGGTTATGGAACTCTTCGCCGACAAGCTGTTTCATGTTTTTGTACAAAATAAAACTCATCCCATTTTTTAAAAGACTAACAATCAATTGGTTATTAAAAGAGACTCCCCAAGGTTATTCTGGACCTTTCACCAAAAATGATTTTCCGGTCCAAGAAAAAGGGATATTTCTACTCTTGTATGCATCCAGAAAGACCGTTTTTGCATGAAAACAATGTGCATCCCTTTTAAGTTCTGCTCAAGTCCCTCCTTCTACAAAATCAGAGATTACTTTTGGCCAGTTTGTTTTCAATTTTTTTAAAAAAGCTAGAACAGTGACTTTTGTTGGATCAGGGGGACTGAAAACTGGCCTCCAGGCCACTGCCAATATGTTTTAGTTAAAAAGCTTTTCATATTGTTCTGAAAGATATGCAGTGTAGTCATAAACAAATTTACTCAGAACTCAGTTCCACTAATTTGAATAAGTGTTTCTCCTAGTAAGTGTGCTTTGAATTTCAGCCTTCATTAGCTTTGAAACATATGCCTTCCCTACTGGACAGAGAAGTGAAGGCTGTTTTCTGTCTCTAGTTTTCTCAGAAGCACAGTACTCAAGCCAGAAAGCAGCAGATTCAAGATAGTTTCAAAAACTTTCCTGAAAAGGTATCTGCATAGGAAGCCACTGACTTCAGGCATAATTTTATAACTCCACCTCAAATGCTAGATATCAAGCCCTGAATTGGGTACAGGTAAATTCACCCATTTATTTTAGCTTTAAAATCCCTCTGTGATTAATTTCTTCCTCCTTAAGTCAGGGGGAAAAAGTCAAATAAGATTGTTGTTGTTTAGTTGTGTCCGACTCTTCGTGACCCCATGGACCAGAGCATGCCAGGCCCTCCTGTCTTCCACTGCCTCCCAGAGTTGGGTCAAATGCATGTTGGTAGCTTCAGTGACACTGTCCAATCATCTCATCCTCTGTCATCCCCTTCTCCTCTTTCAAATAAGATTAGCCACCGAATTATCTCTCTTATCTTCCCTGCAAATACTACCGTGTTTCCCTGCAAATAAGAAAGGTTCTTATATTAATTTTTGCTCCAAAAAAAAAAGCATCAGGGCTTATTTTCAGGAGATGTTTTATGTTTATTTTTTTTCATGTACAACAATCTACATTTATTCAAATACAGTTATGTCATCTTCTTCTGGTTGGTGCACAATGGTGGAGGGCCGTGTTTCACTTAACTGGGGCTTATTTTTGAGGTAGGGCTTCTATTATGAGTATCCTAAAAAATCATATTAGGGCTTATTTTCAGGTTAGGTCTTGCTTTCGGGGAAACAGGGTAGATGTTCTACATAGGGCCCTTTGTGCATGAATTCAGATGACAGGTGACTGGCCACCACTTATGTCATTAACTAGTTCTGCTCTAGTGAATTGGACCAGGGCTCAATGGACACTGGTGACTGATTTCATTGGGCTGTAGGTGCTGGTGATAAATTTGCTCTGAGTTATATTGTGAATTGCAAATGGACTATCCAATGTGCTGAACCATATCCCCAAACTAGGTTCAGCACCCTGGATAGCACATTTTAAGTTCAAACTAAAACTCAGCACTGTCTATGAAACTATAGTTCCTCTAATTTTACATTCATAGAATCACAGAAAAGTGAAGTTGGAAGGGGCCTACAAGGCCATCAAGTCCAACCCCCTGCTCAACGCAGAAAGACAATCCAAGCATATCTGCCAGGGGATTATCCAAGATTTTCTTGAACGCCTCCAGTGTTGGAGCACTCAGTTAACTCCCGAGGTAACTGGTTCCACTGTCGTACTGCTCTAACAGTTAGGAAGTTTTTTTTTCTGATATCCAACCAAAAGCTGGCTTCATTTAACTTGGGCATCACAAAACTGAGTTGTGTCCAGTCTCTCATGCCTAGTCTAGATCCACCCTGCTATGCAGAGGTTCCGACCCACTACTGATACCTTTGATTTGAAGGTTGTATGGAAAGCTTGAAAAAGTCACTTTTTTGGATCAGAGCTCTCCAGACTTCCCAGTATGGCAAATCCAAGTAAGTACCATTTCCAAGTCCTGGTTTTGTGACAGAACAAAGTAAGACATTACATTAGAAGAAATCAATTCAGAGGCATTGGGGTAATTTTCATTCACATGGTCTTTCAAGAACTTGCATTAGAAGAAAACACAAATGCAACAGTGACCTCTAAAGCACTTGATTTAAGAACATGTACCCTCAGATACAAAATAGTGCAAAACATTTATGTTCAAAGGAAAGAAGTCCACACCATAGGTAACCATAAATATACATTTTCTCACTTAGAGCACAAAAACGCACTGAAAGGTTTCAGTTGTATAAATATGTTTGCTAAAGCAATGTTTGTCAGTGTAAGAACCTATTAGCCTTCGATATCTAAAGCTGCTTTTAACAAGGTAGGGCATCCGTAATAAAAATTTAAATACAAGAATCTAGATTAAATGACATTGGGACAGGTAGAAATACATGTATTGGCAAATCCTTCTTGCTAAGTTGGAAAAAGACTCCAGAGTGATGATTAAGACCTTTACGTCACACCGGAAGTCTGCAATCTGTCCATTCTGTCAACTCATTGTGATTCACAGTACTAGGCAATATGTATCTGAAGGTCGCTACCAAATGCAATATGTTCTTTGACCAATATAAAGGCTGACTATTTCAAAATCTAGGCCAACCATTAGAAAACCCAGGCCAGCCATTTTAAAAAGGGATTAAAATATATGAACAATGTGTGTGTGTGTTTTAAAAAAAGATTTAGCATTTTCCTAGGGTACTGCTGTAATAACAACCAAATCAGCAAGACCTGCATTGAACAGGTAGGGCACTCATGAGTAAATTGTCAATTCTAATAGATAGACTTCCATCTTTTAAAAAGGCGACAAAACAAAACTCAATTACAAAGGTACATTTCTGTTCTCTGCTAATGTCGCAGTGTTTGATATGTCTTTTCCCTCTGTGAGGCCATTATAATTACCTCTTGCATAAAGTGCTTTGAGGTTTCTAGGTGAAAAGTGCAGCGTAATAATGAAAGCTAGATATTTTATATGTACTGGAGGAATACTTCCCCCACTTCCATAAATTAAAAATGGAAAGGCAATGTTTATGAAAGATTAAATTTTGATTACTAGTGACAAAACCCATGGCCTTGTCTGTACAGGCACCACGACAAGAACGTTACGTAAAGGAGAAATCCACCAGCCATCTCTAGCCCTATTCACAAGCTGTCATGGGGGTCCCTTATAGAATGGCAAAAGCCTCAGATTGAAGACAAAAATATTATAGCTAAATAGAGGTGAGAGACACAGCTTAGCAATAAAGAAGTGGATTTAGAGGGGACAGGAAAATCTCATGCAATATTTTCTATGTAAGAGGGATGAGTAACTATCTAAATAAGTTTAAAATGATGCAATCTATCTAGACCCAAGCTTCATAAGAGAATAATCTAAGATGAAGAGCAAATGTGTGCTACATAGGTATAGCAGTCTGAGCCCACTTCCATTGCCATGGGTGCATCTCATGGCAATGCTGGGGTGCGCATGCTGGCAAGGTAGACAAAATACTCTGCTAGACATTTCTGCTGCACACGCTTGAACTAAAGAGATCGAGTGTTCCTGCACAGCATGCTAAGTGCCCCACCTAAGTACAAAGCCAAAAGTTCTGCAGAACGGAGTCACAGTATTTAGAGTGGAGTTCAGTTGCCATTCAGTGTGTTGTGTAGATGAACCCTAAGTGATGGCCCTGAGATTTTAAATTACCACCTTCAGGCTCCGAAGATGGACCTTCATACCTAAGTCAGGGCCAAATCCGAAGACCTGGCGATCCGGGTTCCATCTCCTACTCAGCTGAAATTAATGGTGGTTGCTCAGCAACTGACTTTGTCAGGTTGCTAAGAGAGTTAATTTTCAGCCAGAAGCACTGCAGTTTCGCGTTTTATAGCTGCCTCCCTGTGTCTGCATGCATCCTTAATGCACAACGCATTTGCCAGGATCTTTTATTTCTCCCGCAAGCTGTTGTTTAGCACCAAAAATCCAACTGTCTGCTAATGACAACCCTAGTTATCACTCAACTTTATTATAATACTATCTGCTGCAGAGGATATTGCTCCATCATAAGAGTTCGGTGAACACAAGAAACTGAAAGCTGGACAAATAAATAAATTAAATGCAGTGGACAGCAATGTGCAGATCGGTCATTTTCCACTTGGAACTGTTTGTTTTAAAACGGGAGGCAACGGGGGACAAGGAAGGGGAAGAGAAAAATTAATTAGTTGTAGGGGGTGGTGGGCGAGAAGAACATTTGACACTGGGAATGGCTTCTTCTGTTTATTTTTTTTTCCAATGAATTGCTTTGTTGCTGCATGAAGCAAAGGAGGTTTTCAAACTATTCCCTGCAATGGGGAAGCATTGGCATTCAGATGCAGCATCATTTCAGTGGCAATGTGATGATGGGAAAGAGTGGAAGACACCTGCAAACAGCAGCCAGCAGAGTCATCAAGAACTTGCCCACTAAATCCACTGTTTTCCACCACGCCGAGCAAAGCAACTCTCCAGAAATCATAAGGGTTTCTCTTGTTCCTCCATAACAAGGCCAAAAACACTGCACAGCATTCTAAAACTTGTGAAAACAGGGTGGCATTTTTGGTCCAGTTTTAAAGTAAAAATGCTTCTCCCCTGTCGAAATATATATATATATCTCTATATATATCTAAAATGATGACATGGGACTTATTGTGTGTCTGTGTGTGCAAATGCACAAGCAAGTGTGCACCAACATTTTAGAAAAATATAAATGCATTCCAAACACTTGTTGGCACTCTGCTCTTATCTGACGAGCACATCAAACATCGTTTGATCTTCTGAACGGGGACACAAAGCAGTCCGGGATGCTGTTGAGCTGCCTGTCTTTTCCAGTGCTATAGCTTCCATCTTCTTAAAGCCAGGGTTGTGCTGCACCCATAACACACAGTTGTTGCAAAAGCAAAAATCTGCAGGGGAAGGAGAGGGGTAAAAAAATATCCCAAAATGAGTTTCATACCAAATTTTGCTTATCAGTTCATTCCTGCAATTTCTTTTTATACTATTTTTCTCACGAAACACCCCCCATTTCACCAAACGGTCACTACTATAGATAATATTGATAATAGTGTTTAGCTTAGAAGAAGTGTGAACTGTGCAGTCCATGGGTCACTTGCTGCTTGACAAGGTCTCCCGTGCGGCCCCCTGCCCCCTCTCAGAAAAGAAGCCTCTTTTTTTCTACCTAAACATGGACAATCATGCCATAAATGGTCTCTAAGGGAAGCAATTCTCAAGGCTGTTCATGGGCTCCCAGGGTGGTGTAGTAGATAGAGTGATGAATTAGAATTCAGAATACCTGGATTCAAATCTCTGCTCAGCCATAGAAACTCACCAGGGCATGAGGATGATGGCATTGATAATATTACTCCTTTAACATTTTACTTACCTTTAAAGACCCATTAGTCCTGCTACAAGCTTAGTGTGACTTGACAGCACATAACACAAATTTTAAAGGCTCCAAAGAGCAACTAAGGATGCAATCACGCAAGCACTTAGTCTGTTTTGCTGTGGAAATGGGTTGTTTAGCTTCTTTTTCCAGTGATCACCTAACATAACTGTTGGAGCAAACCAAACTGTTCCCAGAGTGCTCCTACCCACTGGAGCTTCTACTTTTTTGGTGTGGGTAAGATTGCTCTGGTTTGGTTTGTTTCCAATGTATGTGATCAGTGGGAATGGACCAAAAATAAGCCTTCTTGCTGTCCAGGCTATTCCAGTTGGAATTTCTGATATCATAGGTGAGCCACTTCAGGATATCAGCAAATCAATCACTTCCTCTGCTCGTTGGTAGAAGAGCACAGGAAGTGAAAAAATATGTTTAAATTGCAGTAGAGCACTCAACTTAGCTAGAATCTCCAAGGAACATTGTCCACCCTTTTACAACACTTCAACCCTGCATGCATTCTTCACTGCCTGCTCAACAGTGCAAGTAACCCTCAGGATGATGAACTCTTTAAGGCTCCCTACTCTGTAGGAAGAGGATAGAAACTGGACAACATAGCCCAGACCAAGGCAGGTAACAAGTGGCCAGTCAGAGATTTTGGTTTACAACTCCCACAGCACGTTACTATAGGCCACACAGCCGAGACTGATGTACACTGCAGCCAAAACATACAGAGGCCAAAAGTTGCCATCCCTTATCAAGCTGCTGAAGAAGGGTTAAAAAACAAAAACAACTTCAGCTGAACTGCAGATCTTGAGCAACTGATCTCCTTGGAACTCTTCAAAGTCCTGAGATTTCATCTCAGTCCTATATATCTGCCTGCTTAGGGACAAAACAGGAAAAGACTGTGAATCTGTAGCTAGAACCAGTGCTCCCTCAAGTGGTGAAAGATATCTGATTGTAAATGCACATTAAAAGCAAGAAGTGTAATTGGTCACTAGAATGTAAACTTTTTTGGCAGTTGATTACTTACATATGCCTGACAAACGAGAGCAGATGGATGCTGGGGGAAATATTATAAGAGCAGGAAATATGTATTTCTCTGAATGTTTGTTTTACACCAAACATAATGCTTTTATGATAAGCCATCCTATGGCACTGTAATACATTCACACGCCCCAAACAGTACAAGAACAGGATCCTTATTCTGCTGGATTTACAGGATACCTAGCTGAGCACAGAGCAAGCCTACATAATACTTACAGCAGCTGCTATACTCAAGTTATACTCATGGTCATTGAGAAGTCTTTCATAGAAGACAACGGCGGTAGAGTTGGCAGGAAGATGCGCACTGAGCTTCATCGGATGGGCATGCAAGGAGGTGGTTGCCGCTTGTAGAAGGAAGGTGCCAAAATAAAAGACAAAGACAGCTGCGTGGTAAAGAAAATCCTAAAAATTAAAGGAAAACACAGAGTTAGTTTGAGTCAAGAGGGAAAAAATGCACTGATGATTTTTTAACTTTCCATAGTCAGCAAAACAGTTGCAGTCAACATGGGTTCTGTTGTTCTCCTATAGAATGAAACTATTACACGCGGGGGAGGGATATATTTAAATTACAGAATGGATGTGCAGAACTCACTTCTGCAAAGACAATATTACCAAAGCTCAGAAATTTTCCTTTTTTAAAAAATATAACTTTCCCCTCCCCAAATCCCATTTCCATGCTCTGAGCATTCCTGGAATGGCTACAGACGTACATAGGAGAAAATACTCAGATTAGCATACATGAGGTTATGTATCCCCTTTTAAGTAACAGTTTAAGTTGTACATAATAAAGAGAAAAGATACATAAAAGAATAAGAGCACAATATGGCTCGAAGCACTGTGTGCTGTGTCTTTAATGGCATATTACAGGCTATTAAAATAATCTTCTACATCGGCAATAATGTTTTCCAACACACACACACACACACACACACACACACACACACACACACACACACACACACACACACACACACACACACACACACACACACACACACACATATATTG